TCAGTAGATGCATCCCTTACTAAGTAATTGAGAGCCATATATTGTTCTAAAGGGTCATAGAACACTTCCTTTTTTTCTCTGTGACCCAAAGCTGCTTCAGCCGATTGGGCCATATTGCAAATGTTGACTTTTTCTTGAGGCTTTTCTACTTGATGGATGTTGAAAGTCACATGCTCTTCATTAACCCGCAGTGTCAATTTTCCTTCCTGGACATCAATCAATGCTCTTCCAGTAGCTAGGAAAGGTCGACCAAGAATCAACGGTATTTTCTCGTTCTCCTCCATGTCCAACACCACAAAGTCCACAGGAAGGATGAACTTATCGACCTTCACCAATACATCTTCAATCATGCCTTTGGGGATATGTGATCGATCTGTAGGCCAGTTGCAAAGTGAGGGTTGTGGGCTTCACTTCTCCAAGACCCAGCTTTTTGAACACTGATAGGGGCATCAGGTTTATACTAGCTCCAAGGTCGCACAGTGCCCTATCAAATGTGATACCACCAATATTGCACGGGATGTTGAAGCTGCCCGGATCTTTCAATTTGTGAGGGAGCTTCTGAAGTATGTCACTACTCCCCTCTGTTAGCTTAATTGTCTCGAACTCCTCCAGCTTCTTCTTATTTGACATCACTTCCTTCAAGAATTTGGCGTAGTTAGGCATTTGGGTCAAAGCTTCTGCAAAGGGAATGTTGATGTGGATTTTCTTGAAGACTTCCAGGAATTTTGCAAATTGGTCATCAAATTTCTTCTTCATGAACCTCTGCGGAAATGGTAGTGGGGGCTTCAAGATTGGTGGGTTGTCCGAAAATGAGATCGAGTAAGGCTTATAGATCTTTGTACCCTCTGGCTTAGTTTTCTGCCTTTCACTCTGCCTTTCATCTGTAACTATGACATCCGACGTAGGCACCATAATCTTCTTAGGTTTGCTTTCTTCAACCATTTGGCCACTCCTTAGGGTGATCGCATTGCAGTGTTCCCGTGGGTTAACCTCAGTGTCACTGGGAAATTTTCCTTTTTGCTGAGACTTCATTGAGGTAGCCAATTGGCCAATTTGCACTTCAAGATTCTTCATTGTGGCTCCCATGTTGGACACATGTGTTTCAATATTATCCAACCGTAATTCATTTTTGTTGAAGCGTGATCTTGTCTCAGAAATGAACGTCCCAAGGATGTCTTCCAAGGGTGGTTTCCCATCAGAATTCTGAGTGTTGAATCCGGGTGGGGGTTGAAGTGTGTTTCTATTGTTGCCGTATGACAAGTTCTCGTGATTCCTCAGCCCTGGATGATAGTGATTAGCTTGGTAGCTTCCTCTTTGATTGTAGTTTCTATCGTCGACATATTGGGCCTGTTCGTTTGCAACCTCTGTCTCTTGGTGTGAAGAAGAAGTACTCATGACTCAATCTACCTTCGGTTGATTTCCTTGAGTGGTAAGCGTGACTATCTGATTTGTGAGTGATGCAACTTGAGCTGCTAGTGCGGTGATGGGATCCACTTCATGAAGTCCTGCTACTTTCTTAACACCCGATCTCTCACTTGGCCATTGGTAACTGTTAGTGGCTATGTCATCCAATAAAGCATATGCAGCCTCTGCTGTTTTAGCCATTAAAATACCTCCCGTAGCTGCATCTACCATAGTCCTTGTCTGCCCATTTAGCCCATTATAAAATATCTCAATTTGCACCCATTTTTGGAACCCATGTTGAGGACATCTCCTAAGCAAGTCTTTAAATCTTTCCCAGGCTTCATAGAATGGCTCGAAGTCGAGTTGTTTGAATTGGCTAATTTCACCGTGAAGTTGAGCTGATTTAGAAGGTGGAAAGTACTTGGTGAGGAATTTCTGAGCCAAATCATCTTCAGTAACCCCATTCATCTTCACCGTGTCACAAATTTCCAAAAAGGATCCAAGATGAGCATTTGGGTCTTCTACTGCAGCACCCCCAAACTGATTTTGTTGAACCATATGTATCAACCCTGGCTTCAATTCGAAATTGTTTGCAGCAATTGCCGGGCGTGCGATGCCGGAATAGTTGTCATTGACAACCGGCCTTATGTAGTCCCGAATAGCCCTTTGTTGGTTATCCTCATTGGCCGCTCTAACATCTTGTTCTGCCATTGCTTCCTGTTTGTTTCTTTGTATGCCCCTGAGAATGCGAAATGTGCGTTCTGGTTCAAGATCAATAGGTAGTAGATCTAGATTTCTCGCCCTTCGCATAAACAGCTGAAAATAATCAAAAGGAAACTTTTAAAGATAGACACAAAATGAGTAAAATAAAAAAATAACAGTAAAAATAAAAATCTAGAGTAAAATGAACGCCGATTGGTAATAATATCAATTGAATTCGAATGAATCAA